CTGGATAATAGAATACATTTTTTAGATTGGAGAAGGAAACTGTAGCCTTTCAAAGTTAAGAACGCCCATTTAAAATGTGTGTAGCTGCACTACTAGTCTTTGCTTGTTCTGCCAAGCCCCCTCCAGGTGCCTCCCCCCACCCTGCCCATGGCCCAGGACCCCATGTCATCCCCCTAGGACTGTCAGCCCCTGCTCTAGAGACCCCGCAGCAGGGCTGGTCTCTAGCTCCCCACAGCCCTGCCCTGCCTGGCCATGGGCCCCCTGAGCCAGACCCACCCATGGGCCCATGTCCCATCCCCATCCTTGTGGACATTGGCTGGGGCAGTGGGACAGGCTCGGGATGGCCAGGCCTGTTTGCAGGAATGAGTTCATTCTGGTCCCCCATATACGTACTAAGCATCAAACACTTGTAGACTTTCTTCAGCAGTGAGGTACAGATTTGCTGTTAGAGACCAGTCTTAAGCCAAAGTTGCCTTCCTGCTAGAGGTGTTGTTTTTTTTGTTGGTTTGGTTTTGTTTTCCATTGAGAAGCCATGCCCTTCTGTACCTGAGAGAGAGGAGGAAAAAATAAATCAGTTTTTGCTTACAGGTTTGGTGCAAAATCCATTTCTGCCTTTAGGATGTCTTTTTCTTGCCTGTGTTCACGTAATACCCCTGTTGATAAGATTTTATTATATATTAAATAAAAGCTATCATTTTTGAGTGTGTAAGTACGTTCTCTGTGCTCTTTACTAACCTGCTTTTTTCCTCCATTATTGTTTCTAGATTAACCGGAGAGGAATGCCTCCCAAAGGGGGTGGAGAGATATTGTTTGCTTGCCCAGTGAGAAAGGTCTTGCAGCCCATTCAGTTCACAGACCCTGGCAAAATCAAGCGCATCAGGGGAACTGCGTATCCTTTTTTTTTTCTGCTTTTAAACAAGTCTCCCAACTTGAAGTCACAGAAGTGCACCCATGTTGCTGAGCATGTATCCAGATAACACAGGGTGACATTACACAGAGGGATCACACAACTAGATTTCAGGACCGTGTCTCAAAATGGCTGTGTTCAGAACATTGATGTTCAAAAAGCATCCATAGGCAAGTAAATAAATTTAAAACTGAACAGCAGTATTTAAAATCTTTTCAATAACAAGAAAAAGTTAAAATACCTTCCATCACGTAATGTAGCAGCACTAAAAGGAATTTTACCTTGTGTGTAAATCCAGCAGTAACGAATGTAGTTTTGTTATGCATTGACTAGGTGGCATCTTGGCTGTTAATGAGTCTAGCAGAATGTTGGATGGGAGCTTAAATTTTAGTTCAGTTTACACCTCACTGCACACGTGAACTGAGCTTTTTGTTATGTTATGAGAATAAATCTGTTAGCTCTTCACCTTCAGTAGTACCTTTGGAGATGGAAGTAGAGGAGGTTTTTCTTCAACACAAAGATAAGGGCACAAAATATTTTTGTGGCGTACTCACTTTTGCAAACAGAACTGCACATCTAGTCAATGTTTTGTTTGGGGGTGGGGGTGTTCTTTATTTTTCTCTTGTGTTTTTTATATGGTATCTGTCATGAATTTGCTGTCACCGTAGGAAGAAGGCAGAAATCCTTTACAGGCAAGGTATATAAAGGTTGTATTTCATGAGCTCCTGCTCCCTCTTGAGCATTGGCCAACTTTTAGTTTAATTTGCGATTATGAGACTCCCAAATATGATCTGGCTTTGATTTTTAAGCAGGAAGGGGGGCAGGTTTCTTGCCAGAGGTGCAGACTTGGAGCCTGCTCATCCTTTCACTTTATGGCATACCATCATAATTGTGTGTGAGAACAGCACGCCTTGACCTCCGTTTCCAACTGTGGCATTTGCATGAGTGCAGCATTGCCAAGTGAGACCAATTTCACTGGGTGCATGTGTTGTAGAATAACAAAGGAGGCAGCTTAGTGTGCTTTTGGTGGTGTTTGTCATGGTCTTTCCGTGAAGAAAGTAATTTCCTTATGCCCCGTCCACCTCTGTAGTAAGTAGTTCAGTCCTCTGTGTGAAGGAGGAAGCAATGATCATGGCTTTAGTGCCATCTTTCTAAATTGACATTAATACACAGTGCCATCCACTTTGACTGGATTTGGTCAATGTATGTGAACTGCAGGTTTTTGAACTTCCACTTTCCTTTAGGTTTTCCTGGGCTTTTTCTCAGGGATAAAGGTTTGCCTTTAGTAAGCCCGGTGAGAGGCAGTCTCATTTTAGTTTGGCCATTAAGTGTCCTTCAAGCCAATAGAAAACAAAACATCTGGAAGGATAAGTGCTTAGGTCTTATATATGTGCATTTTTGTCCCTCCAAGATTCAGCTGAGCAATTCTGCTTCCTCACAGATGGGGAGCTTACGTTGCAGCTTGTGTTGACCTTTTATAGTCATCCAAAATACTGAGTGCCCCAACTGTGCAGAACGATCAGTTTTCTGATTATTATTTACTGATTTTGCCCTTAAAGATCTTAAAGCTTTTGGTTTACCCTACTCCCCAAGAGCATGCAGTAGAAATCTGTAGAAAAGGAAACTCCCTTCTGCAAACTAGGAGATTTGAGAGTGTGTTTCTCTGCATTGCTATGTGCATGTAGGTGCAGATGGGTGGTTAAGTGTGCAGAGCATGAGTCTGCGTTATGGTTGGGATGGAATTTGGAGCACAATGTGCTTTGTAAATTTGAAGATCTGTCAGGAATATCACTGAAGCGGCACCTGAGTAAAAGGGCACAAAGGCAATTCATCTCTTGTGTACTGTGAGGAGGTGGGTTGGGGTGAGCAGGAAAGTGGTAATTTCTTCTTCCCTGGAACCGTTACCTTCAAATGTTGAGTCACTAGAGAACCAGTGAACTTGATAGCCTTACAGCACTGCAAAATAGTTAGAGAGCAAAGATTTTTTTTTTAGCCTTTTAAAATTAATTTTTTCTTTCATTAGTACATTTGTCTTTAATTTCATCTGCCTGATTTCTCCCTGATAGAAATAGAAAGACAGGATTTCTTGCAGCTAATTCAGAGAAACTTCACCCGTCACGGTCTTTTAATAGTATATGAGGAGCAGAGCACGCAGGGCTTCCTCCATCATAAGAAAGCACAGGATGACAGAACAGCAATTTCAAATTATCGAAGGGCATTTTGAAGATAGATGTTTACCTAGTCATAATAAGCTGTTCTTATGCACGTGTTCTGTGTACCTCACTTCAACATATATCAGCGAAAAGACTGTATAAAGCACTTATGCACATGTGCTTCTCTAAGTACAGGAAAATGGACCAGCACTCATGAATGGATATATATGACAAAACCACATTTTTCTGAAATAATGTATTAGGACCTCTTGGCCACTTTTTTTGGTCTCTGGTTTAAATTTCTTTTGTGACCACAGTGAATTCCTTAGCTTGGAAATGTAGATACTCTGTCAGAGTGTCACCACAGATGGCAAACAGAATGGTGGAATCTGCAAGGAGCATCCTGAATAAATTTCTCCCAGACATTTATATCTACACGGATCACATGAAGGGGGTCAGCTCTGGAAAGTGAGTATCCAGGATTCACAGGGAACAGAAATGTAATTCTGCATTTGTTCATCTGCTGGGGTATTCTGATCTGTAATTTCATTGTGTTTTAGACCGTGATCTTCCATTTTGCTGACTTGAAATAAATATTCCTCACAGGGAAAAAACGGAATGATTCACTAGAGAAGTTTGTTTTACTCATGGTATAGGGATAGAAGTTGTGTATTTCCTTAAACAAGGAATGTAATACACTGTTACTGCCACTAAAGGCAACTGAGGTCTCTTCAGTTTTAAACCTGTTGCTTTGAAGTGAGATTAAGATCAGAGGTGCCATGGTATGTTGTGAAAACTAACATTCAAACTTGACTATACACCTTCTGATGGAAATGGTAGTATTAAGGATGGGACCAAACTGTTTTAGAAAGTGTTAGAGCTGTATGGGTTGTCTTCTGCTTTACCATTACATAAATAGCTGAAAGAGCGTCCATTCACTAGCGAGGACTGGAAAATCGAGACATTACTTTACTGTACTTACACAGATTTTGTTTGCCAGCAGAACACAGAAGTGATGGATGTGATTCAGACAATTTCACTGATATCTGTCAGCTTTGTTGTCCTCTAGTCACTTTTCATTGAGGTTGAAGGAGTTCTGAATAACTAATCTGTTAGTCTTCTGTCTGTATGCTCAAATCCAAGCATGCACATTTTCTTTCACTGTTTCTACTTTTTGAAATATTACCTTAAAGAAAACTTGTTGGGTTTGCAAGTTTACAAATCTAAAAATTGTTGACTCACTTTTAAGTATTTTTCCTCTTTTCCAATCCTTCATCATATTTAATATCCTAGGTTAGTAAGTCTTGTGGCTCCGGACTGTTAACAGTGATCAGAATTGCAAAAACTTTTCTGGGAGCTGTGAGTTTTTGGGTTCTCATTTTGTTTTTTATATCTCTATAACGTGGAAAAGCCAAATGAATTGGGTCAGCAGCATCACATTTACTACTTGCATGGGTAGCCCATGTGGAGGGATAAATAATAGTATGGGAAGATGAACTGAGTCCCTCTCTGCCTTGCTGGTGCATGTGGCTTTCTGATGCTGCGGTGCTGTCACATTCAGCATAAGTATGGCGCCAGTACGATTGCAGTGTACCTGATACTAACATTGTGCCACTTTGGCAAAGCCTTTTTTATTACTTGGTTCCCAGTGCTTGTGTGTGTCTTGGCAGGACAAGGAAGCAAGGCAATATGCCTCGTCATTTCCAGTGCTGCCTCTGGTGATGAGTAAGACCAGCAAGGACTAGTTCAGCCCATCTGTACCCAGCCCAAACCAAGTCCTGATTTTAGAATATAAAGTGTTGAACTTCAGCCCTTCCACAGTGCCAAAAGCTTCAGGGAATACATTATCTGAGCATCTTCTGGCCCATGTAATGTCTCTCTAAGCAGAAACTTCCCGGTTCTGTTTTGAGCATTTGCAGCAAAAAGTTTGTGCAGATGCTTCCTAATGCTGTCTGCACATACATGAGGCACTGGATGATTTTAATTTTTATTTAGGCAGATTGCCACATGCTACTGAACACTAACAAAATCTGCCAGTGGGTATAGTTATTAAAGGATATTTGTCCAAAAAATAGCATCTTTGACACTGTTCTTGTCTGGCTGTCTAGATCTCTATCTCTGTTTCAGGGGAAAGAAAGGAAGAGAGAAACATCTTTAACATACCTTCTGTGTTGCTCAGCAAGTGCAGGCAGTTAAATGTGGGTGGGAACCACTGATATCTTTTCATTCCTGCCCTATTGAAATGCCTCTGGAGGAACTGTTGTTTTTCTGGCACTGGGAGAGTTTGTGTGTATTGGTGTTTGATTTTGTGGTTTGTTGATGTTGGTGACATTCCTTACAGTTTTGGGTCAGTGTGACTATTTTAATTAAAAAGTTTGGGTGGTGGAGGCAGCAGGAGTCCAAAACTGTGGGAAGTTGTTAACCTGAGTTTGAATGGCTAGCTACTGGTGCTTTTCCAGAGCCTATAAGAGGATCTTGTGAGTTTTTTTCCCTTCCTTACAACTTTCTGATTTCTCAGCAAGCTGTACTCAGCCATCTGTGACTTTCTCGTAGCAAAAATGTTTCTTAACTCTCACAGTAGCATTTTGTAGGATCCTAAGCTCTGAGGAAAATAGGGGGGTTTTGTTTCTTTCTTCAAATCATATGTTCAGAACTCTTAAACAGTTGTAATGATTTGGATGGTATTGAACTGAAAGTGAAAAGAAGCGATTTGAAATACAAGTAATGTGGATCAAACTTTCTTTTTATTCTCCTGCTTGGTGCCATGGCTATGGCTTCCAGGGCAAGAGCTTGATCTTAGAAAGTTAGTTTTGGTTTTTTCTAAAGAAAGTTAGTTTTGGTTTTGAATGTCACAGAGAATAAACTCCAGATACCTTTGAAATGTTCATCAAATATGAATTAAATAAATGTGAAAGATACTATTTTTTTTAATAGAGGGGGATATTTCTGAGGTTTGGAATTTTTTTTTTTTCCTTTTTTCGTTTTTAAAGAGTTTGTGCCAGGAATAGCCATCACGGTGTGTTTGGGGCAAGTGGTACTGGGTTTAACTCTTAAATACTGTTGTTAATGTTTTTTCCAGGGTGAATCAAATGTATAGAACAGGAAATCTGTCAGCAAGTCCAGATTCCCAGTGTTGTCGTATGAGAGGGCTGTTTGTGACTTGAGGAGGAGGTTGGCTGGAAGTAGTTCTTGGCTCATTACTTGGTTTCTGTCCTTAAATCAAATGCACTTTTTCCCTTTCTTTCAGATCGCCAGGTTTTGGCATGTGCCTTACTGCAGAAACGATCAATGGCACTATTCTCAGTGCTGAGCTAGCCTCAAACCCTCAGGGCCAGGGAGCAGCTGTGCTTCCCGAGGAACTTGGCCAGAATTGTGCTAAGCTGTTGCTTGAGGAGGTCTACAGGGTAAGTGGCCAATACATTTTGCGTGTATAGCTGTAGGGGAAGAAGGTAATGACATACTGGTAAAGGAAGAGGTGGTTTGGGGGCACCCTCAGACAGGCTCAGATACAAACAGATAAATGATCTGATGCTGCCACTATCTTCATCCAGGTAAGGAGTGGTTTTGAAGGGTTCCATTGACAGTGTAATGACTCACTGGGCCATGTTATTTCCCATGTCCAGGAGATGTGACTATGAATCATAGTAGTGGCAAATTTTTCTTTTGTTGGTTTCTGTCTGCAACAGAGTTCAGTTGGCTTCCCATGGGCTCTTACTTTTTTAATAAAAAGTTGGAGGGGTAATAGAGTCAATGCTTTTAAACTAGTGGTTGGAATGGGGCATTATGAGTGGGAGAACATATGAGGAAGAAGGGGGGGGGAGCAGCTAGCCTCAATGGTGGCTGCTTTATGGTGATGATGACAAAGTCAAATGTGCTGAGATCTGTTGGTTGTGTGAAGAATTGGCTGACTGGTTTGTTGGAAAGGGAGCTAGGACAGTGTTTGCATAGGAATCTTAAGAGCATCACAGTCTTTTGCAGAGTATTTTTTTTTTATTAAAATGTTTTTCATTTGTGGTGAGACTTTTAGTGGATGACCAGCTTTCAGTCTTACAAATGATTTGGCAATTAGCATCATAGTGAGTTTCTGATTTAATAAAGAACCTACCTGCTTTTGTTGTGTATCTCCACCAAGGTTAAAAAAAGTAGCTGGTAATATTGACAAAAGACATTTGGCCTTTAGGAGGCAGTCATCTACATATTGTACTCACTGTTTTAAAAAAAGTAATTGCTCTGAACTGGAATAACCTGATAGGACTTTGCAAAGTATTAAAATTGCCGTTAATAAAATTCTGCATTAGGTAATGCAGGTATCAATTATAAAAATATCCCTTAACCTCATAAGTCACATCCATGCCTGTAGTTCAGATTGTTCATCTGTGCCCATGTTATCATTTTCTTTCTCTGCTGCAAACCCTTCATCTGTCTTGAATTACCAATTTGCCCACTTGTTCCAGTCTTCCATTAATATTTTGTCTTTGTTTATTAGGTGTATGCACCATGTTGCTAGAGGACTTTCCCTTTCTAGCCCGGGGTTCTTATCTCATAGAAACACCACAAACAAATATTCTTCCTGGGTACAGTCCAGACCCCTTGAATTTGAAAGTCCAGCATGCATGGAGAATGCAGTCACAACTAGTGACTGAAACATCTGTCTGTTTCTACAATTATGTAGTGACAGGTAGCTATTTTTATTTGAGGGGTGAATTGTAAAATCTTTCAGCTTCCATCCCCGCACCCCCCCACCCCCCCAAAAAAAACCCCAACCTAAAATTTGGTAGGTTTGTTTCTTTGTGTAAACCTCTTGGAAAACATATTCAGGTAGTCAGATGATTGAAGGCATCAAAAATCCAATTTCCACATACTTTTATCAGCAGCAATAGGTATTTTTTTCCTTTGAAAACCATCCAGCACTTGACAGATTGAAACTAGTTAGGGAATTTGTCCAGATATTACACTCTCTTCAGAGTCAGATGTCAGAGAACTTCTGAAATGAAGAGGGCTGGAAAGGCCTGAACCAGGTAATTTTCTGCATTAGTGTACTGCAGCCATTTGAATGTGATGAGTTAAATTCTGCAAAGCACCAGGATAGTAAGGATCTTGGGACAACAGAAAAAAAGCGTTTGAGGAGGAAACAGGGTCAGGCAAGTCTTTGAATGATAAAGTGGTAGGCCATGAGGTTTCAATGTCTTTGAAGATCAGATTCTGAATGAATTAGGTTGTTAGCTGTGGCCTGCTACGGTTCTGCTCTTTTATGTGTGGACTGCTTCAGTCCAAGAGTGACTGACAAGTGCTGAGCAGTGTACGGACTGCTTGTGGTCCTCCAGTGCGGCAGCTCACGGTGGAAAAGTTCTTGTTAATTAGCATTTTTGGCTATTGTGCTGCTTATCCACTGGAGTGCTCAGTCCTTATTCAGCATTTACAAATTCCCTGCTCCCTCTGTCATGGCAATATGGTGGGTTTTGTTCTGTAGTTTTCAGAATGCACACTTGAATTTATGTATGACACACATGCTCACACAGCGCTAGCCAGGAATTTGGGAAGATGGGCTTTCTCATTGATTTTTTTTTTTTTTTTGAGCTTAGGTCAGTTTGATCTAGTGTTGACCCCAGAGAGGATAGAAAAACATGTTGCAAAGCATGCAATGTTTGTTTAGTTTGAAGATACTTTTTTTTTTAAGTTTCTTTGCCTAGATAAGATGTCTAGTGAAACAGTAAAAATTTAGGAAAGCTGTGCATGGAGCAAGAATAGGTTGCTCTGAACAGGCACTCTTAAGTCTCACTCTCTTTACACCAGCTACTTGCTGAATACAGGGCGCAAGGGAGAATTTGTCTCCCTGTGTTTAGATCCTCTCTTTATGAGATTGTTTCTCCATCTGTGTGTTTGCCTGTAGGTACCGTACTGCAGGAGCGAGGGAGGGTTGACCAGAAAAGGGCATCCTGGGAGCATTTGAGATAATTCTCTGTAGAAGGGTTTTAGCTGATGGGGTCACCCACAAATCTGCTGGAGTTCATTACTGTTTAAAGGGGCCCAGGGACACCTCTTAAAGTGCTTGCTTAATGCTTGCTGTTATGCGAACTTTAGCACCTAGGAAATCTCAGAATTTGAGTCTTGCTATGTGAAGTGCTAAATGGTTCCTTTTACTGAGCCTTCAGAAAGAAATGAAAGAGGTCATATGATTCTTGGAATCAGTGGAGCGTTTTTTATGTACATTTGTTGATGCAAAGATGTCAGAGCGAATTGACTAATAGTAAGTGGCACAGTGGTAATTACACTGGCCCTGAAAGAGGGAGCATGGAGTGACTGGCTAGCATTGTCTTTACAAATCCACACGGAGTTCTTACCTAAGCTTAATTGTAGAAGGCCAATAAGGACTTTCCTCGTCTTTGAAAGGCGTTGGTTATGGGAGCTTTATGTAGCAGGTGATTGGCAGAATGGAGAGGCCTTGGAAGAACTGGAAAAGGATTGAATGTTTATATTCCTTGTGATCATGAAAAATAGGGGAGGATGCAATACCTGTTTAAGGCTGCGTTCTTTCATGAAGAAAGGTCAAGATGTTAGGGGGGCTTGGAGGGGCAGGAGGAGTAAGGCTGTTTGTGTTATTTAACTAGAGCTAAAATGAGTGAAGCATTTCCCCTGAAGGCTTAATTTTCAAGATGGCCTTACTTCAGTGTGACAAGGCTCTGCTCCATTCTTCTGGGGAAGAAAAAAAAACAACAAACCAACCAACCCTCTGCACTTCACATAACAAATTATTGAGGCATGCAAGTATGTACCGTACGGGTAAAGGAGGAAACTGTGTGTATGCCAAAATATAACCAAGGCTAAATCAAAGCTGGGGTCAAGCTCAGAAGAATAACCCTCTTCAAAACACTGTTGTCCAATACCCAGAGTTGCGATATTTGTGTGTGCATGTCAGCTGTGGTATTTGTATAACAACATTTCAAAATGGATGGGATTTTAAGTGATCTGTGTCTCTAATTGTCACATCCAGCTGGATCTGGCTCTGTTGTCAATGGAAACAATAACGGAGAAACTGCCATAAACTTAATCAATATGGACTAGAAGCTGCATCCTAGGTTGGTAACAAGTGCCAGCTATTTTGGAACAAATGTCAGTACTTTGGCTCTGACTTTGCCCATCCCATTTCTCTTGGGAGGGTTGTTTTTGATTTTGGACTCTTGAGTAAGTGGCAGGTGGGTTGAGAGAAAAAAGTTGGGAGCGGCATGTCCTTCGTTTGGCACAAGTTACTGTTCTGTCATCATTAGATTACAAGCAAATCACTTAATTTCCCTGTCTGGCAACTGCCCATGTGGGAGTGGGCATAACAGTGCATTGCTAATGCACAACAACAGTGGGGACGGCTGACTCACTGCAGCAAGAGAGCTTATGTAAGCAGCTAGGACATGATGGATGCATCCTGTTTTGCTATATTGTTTAGGACATGGTTGTCTCCATGCTGATTGAAGCTTTTGTATAAATTTGGTCATAAAAATAGATGTTTTATAATGTTTTCAGCTTTAGAAAAGCAAAAACAAGCTCAAAAAAATGTAAAGTTTTCATCCAAGTGATAAAGAGCATTTTGAATTATTAACCAAACTACAAATACAGAAAGTCCTGTGTCAGGAATACTTCTTAAACTCTCACCTGCTTCTTGTACATGTTTCAGATTGGCAAATACAGCTGGTGAGAGCTGTGGCTCTAGATGGCACCAGCAAATTCTGCAGGTACGCTGTTCGCTCAAGATAAAGCACAATTTTTATCAGTCCCATAGAGGGCATTAGGTTGAGTGCCTGAACTTCACTTTGGTATGGCAGGTTCATGCAGTTAAACGGGCAAGGGCTGCTGTAAGAGCATGTTGCTAGGAGTTAGGTCATGATAGTGAATGTAATGAAGATGTTTCCTTTGTTGTGGTGTATCATGTGCTGCAAGAAGTGCAGGAGGCTTTTTTCAGAATGGAGCTGAGACTTGTCACACTGAAGCAAGGCCATCTTGAAAATTAAACCTTCAGTAACTGTCCTTGGAAAGGTCCTCCTTTCTGCCCTCTCACTGAGTAAATGTGCTGAGGTTGTCACATCATTGTGTTTTCTTAGTCTGTGTAGTCCAAAATTTATTTTGCCCGTCCCTTGCCTTTTTGGATGGTGTTAGCTCTTAAAATGAGGGCAGGTTACTCCTTGCCCACAAAGGTGACTGTCAGTTTACCTCATTAGAGAATTTGTTTTTAAAAGGATGAATTTTTAGTTCTGGTCTCTCCAGAGACCCTATTCAGAGGGCTTAGCATTAGGCCTGATCCAGCGGGAAACTGTTCACAGATTTCATGTGGCTGTGGATCAGGATGAATGAACAGTCTGAAATAATGTTATGCCAGATATTTTTTCTATTTTCAATGCGTTTGCATAGTAATAGTTGGTAAATTCTCTCTACAGCAGTCTTGACTGAAAGGATCCCTTTTAATTTACATTCAAGCTTTGTAAACAAAGGAAGCTTTCCAATTCTAATTCACGTATGCATCATGGTTAACAACTTCCACATGCAAAACAATTTACCATGCATGTATGACTTACTACAGTCAAATATATACAAGAGTATGTGTAGTTCTACATAATTTTATGCATGGCTTTTTCACATAGCAATAAAAAAAAAATCTTCCCATTTTAAATATAGGGGAAAAATGTTTTGCAAATGTAAAACCACAGAAGTTAGCAGCAAGGGCTTAGGTGGATGTGTGTGAAACAACTTCTAACTTGCTGTTTTGCACCTGCTAATGCTGAACTACTTGTCCGAATGTAACTTTATAGTTATGATAAAGTGCTGCAATTCATGGTATCTTCAAATGCACATGAAGTATAATTAATATCTATTTTCAACTTAATGCAAAGAAATTCTTCAGTGCTTACATTCTGTGATGTTAGAAGAGAACAGGTTGGGAGAGGTGGGAGGGATCTTTAATGTGACCTTGTTACTGCTGTTTTGTTTTAGTTCTGTCCCTTTCCCAGCCTACCATGTGAAATTAATTTGTCATTGTTACAAAATCTAGATTTTTATCTTTTTGGCCCTTGAAAATTGGGAGCGGTAATTCAGCCTTTTAAGTGTATCTTTCTCCTTCATTATTCTCCTCCCATCCCAATTTCTGGTTTGTACAGAGATTAATTATTAAAACATTTTGGTTTGCAGGGAGGCTGTGTAGATTCAACAAATCAGAGCCTTGCTCTTCTCCTCATGACCCTTGGACAACGAGATGTTTCCAAAGTCCTGTTAGGACCTCTGTCTCCATACACGTAAGTTGTTTTGTTCAGTTTAATTACCCAGTCTTGTTTAATTCACTAGTTTTATTGCACAGCTGTTTTTTGTATATGGAAGACTTTGCCTGTGGCTATGAATAGAACAACTTGTACCTGTCTTCAAATGAGACAGGTGGTGTAAGTTACCTGGTGTTTATTTCTACATGTTAGAAGATGATTCCCTTACTGTTCTATATTATTGCTGGTTCTGAGAATTGCAGAGATGCGGTTTATTGTTGGTTCTTAGTCTTGGATTGTATGTGTACATCAGTTTGCTTTTTGTTGCCTAGCGTACACTACTGTGTTTTCCTAGGGATCTCTCTGTAGCTGTGGCATTAAATGGCACGTTTCAAATAGCTAGCCAAACGCTAAAGCTGTGATTGTCCATAGGAAACAGCGTAAGAGTTTAATTCATGGAGCTATGTGCAACCCCAAAGCTTTAGCCCTATCGGGCAGCAGACTTCTATCTAGTGCTTCAGTCTCGATTTTCATTAAAGCTTTGTCTGCAGCTGGTAGTGGTTCAGAGGATAGAAAAAGACTAAATTTCTTACATCACTAGTTGCAACACACAGGTTAGGGGAAGGGCATCCAGTATCAAAAATCTCATTTACTCTATCAGACTGACAATTGACTGACTAGATCACAGTTATTCGTAGAGACTGAGCAGTTTTCATTTAATCAAATGGAGGGAGGCTTGTTTATCTGACAATGGCATCAAATAATAAGACTATGAACTGTCCTTTTTCGGTTATCATGGTACCGGTGCTGTATACGTGAAAGGTACAGTACTGTGATAACTGAAGAATGGTGGTGCCATCACATGAGAGCTAGAAATTGTCTAACTGCTATTCTCAACCCTTGTTATCTTGGAAACAACATTCATCAGATTTTGAGGGGAAGACAGGGAAGCCTCCCATTGCGCAGGGGTAAAATAATCCCCTGTAAAGTAAGTATACATGTGAAAGGCTTATGAAGAGTAGGTATCGGTGCTTGAAGTGCACAGTTAAACATGTGAAACAAACCAATCGCTTGTCATTGTCCAGTCTTTTTTGTGTTGTTTTTTTTTGATGCTTTGAAAATCACACAAGCACACTAGTTTATTTTGTAAGCAGGCTGATTTAAAATAGGTGGGTTGTCACTTCTTCCAAGCTAGGAGCACGTGGCAGGGATGAAGGTGAGGAGCAGACATCCTGAAGCAGCATGTGTCACATGAGATCATAAAATCTGTGATTCTCTGAGAATTTGTGACTCATCAGTCCTATGAGGACCTATTCAGAAATCGCGCAGCTCTGTCTGCAGCACCCCTGTGCCCTCACTTAAGGCAGCTCATAAAGGGCTGGGAAATCTGTCTCCCAAGCAACTTATCGGATGCACAGGCTTTTGAAGTAAATTGCAGTAGTCACGTTCCACTTCATTGTCCCTTCTTTTCTCTCTTGGGGCTGTGACACCTCTGCATTTAACACTTTCACCCTACAGAATCCAAAGTTATTTATAAGCCGTGTTATGCTAGATTGGCTTCCCTGTCTAGCACAATGTAGCGTGAATGTGACAGTTCAGCTGGCAGATGAGAGCGCTGTGCGGGGACATAGTGCTTTGGAATACGTCCATCAGAATGAGGAAACATCTCCCATATTTGTGTATTTCCACGACATACATCCTTTGCCCCTGCTAATGGCATGATGGCAGGCAACACCATGGGCAGGGCTGTCCTGAGTGGCACTGGGGACACCAGTCCCAAAAAGAGCACTTGGCCTGTGGCCATCTGGATTACCTCCTCTCATCTTATGCTCCAGATTTCACAGAAGCAAGCACCTCTCTGTCAAGCTGAGCCTAAAATCAAATGCAGGGTGCTGGCTGTGTCGCCACGTCGCAGAGATCAGTCTTGCAGGACAGGCTAGTCTGCATGCAGGTGAATTGGCATGAGCCGCGGGTATGTCAAGGAGAGCAACAGGAAAGAC